GGAAGTTAGTCACTATATCCAAATATATCCTACCCATCCCTTAGCCTACATTACAACCAAATAAAGTCCTATTGATCTTAGATTGAGTGGAGCTCGATTAGCAGAGTACTACGCTACGGGCAAGCCTATGGTGCATCTGTGTGGCATGTGAATGTTCTTTTTGATAGCGAGCGAATTTTCTTTCTATCTTAGTTCCTAATTGTCCTAAATATCATTGTGCGTGGAAATACTCTCTTGTGTGATGTGAGGGCATGTGATTCATAACGGAAAGGCAAGTCTTGACTCTTGTATAGAGTGGCTTGAGTAAGTGTGAATGTGCATGGTACTACAGGTTTAATTCGTGAGGAAAGGTTGCCCACTACTAGTTACACATTTTGTGAAACGTTCATGGTGTTAGTCGTCAATGGTAAAGCATAGAAAAGAAACCTTGTGGGATGTAGTGGATTGCTCGAGGACTAGCAATGAATTAAGTGTGAGGTGTTGATAAAAGGCTAAATTGTATAGTTTGGTCTACGTTTGGGCTCTAACTTAAGGATGTTTTACTATTGTAAGTGTATAAATAATGCAAAAATTGGCTCTAATGGTGACTTTGATGTTTCACAGGAGTTCAATAATTAAATGAAGGCTTATGATGGTGATCCGGGCGAAAATTGGAGTGAAGGGATGAAATTGGAGCAAAAATACAAAACCAGTGAAAAACCCCACTATCGCGGGCATTAGCGCGCCCGCGCTAGTTCAACGCCCAAAAACAGAATGAAACCTCACTAGTGCGGGCATTAGCGCGGCCTTAGCGCGCTGCACTAGTCCAGTGGCGGAAAAAGACTTTTAAAAGGGGCAATTTCGGAAGTCCAAGGAAATCCACACACACTATAAAAGGTTCAACAAGTCCAATAGAGAAGGAGTTCGAGTTTTTTGGAGAATAAGGAAGAGAGGCAAGGAGGCAACTTGAAAAAATACACTTTCTCATCTCTCTAAATTGTTCTTCTATCAATGACTATGAATTCTTTTGTTGTTTTCATTATTGTCATGAGTAGCTAAATACTTTAATCTAAGGTTTTGGTGAAACCCGTTGGGGGTGACTTAGTTGTTATATTAATATAGTTTTGAATTGGTTGTTAATCTCTATTTGTTCATCTATGTTTTGATTGTGGTTAATTGAAAGGGCCCTCAATTATCCGCCCCTATTTAGTGTGTATCTGCTTGAGAGGGAGTGCATATTTAGGTGATTGTATGAACAACATCACTCCCGGAGTATAGACGAGAGTCATAACCGAGGGTTAGAGGTTGGATTAGAGATAACGATACCTCGTATGCAATCTAAGTGAACCGTATTGTGAATCTAGCTAGCGTAGTTTGAGAAAGTGCGTCTGGTAAATTATCATAATTGCTTGAGAAAGATTTATGATAGCTGGAGCGTTCATGATTGATAGAGACAACTAAGTCTCAGTTATAAAACATATTTAACCAAGGAAATCAACAACGGGGGAAACCATTACCTTAGACCTTATTCCAATTATATACAAGCAAGCTTAGTTAACTTTCAGCTTTATTTATTTTCAGTTTAGTTGTTAAATATATCATCAACTGTGAATCACAAAGTTTGGGGAAATTGATTGTGTGAATTTAGTAAGTCTGACAAGAGTACTTGATACGTTAATTCTCTGTGGTTCTACTCTGGGCAGAATTACTCAGACTATATTTGCTACGTCCGTGTGTGTCTTTTATAAGGCATTGTTTGGCGTTATCAAATTTTGGCGCCGTTGCCGGGGAGTTAACGGTGTTATCAATTACAATTGAAAGAAGTACAAAAATTTTAAGTGT